ATGCTAGACTTAGTTGTTAGGAAAATCTATGTAATTGCAAAAGTAATTTCAAGAACCTTAATAAAGTACTAGCGTGATTGCTTAAGTTTAAAAAAAAAAAAAAAAAAATCTGTATAGTAATATATAGGCAAATTATTTAAAATAGATATTAAAAATGCATATGTAGCTAGTTGTAATCTTTAATATAAAAGAGTTTTTGAAGGCATTTGTGTTTTATAAAAACTTAAATAAAAATATTGCTTTTCAAAAATAAGAACTTTAACCTTTTAAGTAGTAGGTTGGATGTTCAAATTCTATTGACAGTACAAATTTAGATAATCACTTATATATTATAGTAACTGTTTCTAATAATTAAATTAAGATATCTGTAATAATAGTTATATTAGCATAACTGGCAAGTTATAAGGCATATATATAACTAGTTATATAAAAAAATGTAAACTAGTATTAGATAGTACAAACCTTAAATAAGTTTTTTTGTAATTATATAAATCTGTTAAAATTAGAAAACAAAAAGTTTATTTAAAAAAACTCAAATAAAAAAATACAGTTAGACTTCCATAAGTATATTTCTATAAGTGCACACCCTCTATAAATATACTATAAAATCTAGTCCCAAGTTGGAATCATAGTTTTAAGTACACACCCTCTATATTCTGCATATGCATTTGATTTTGTGTTAAAGTATCCTTTGTAAATGCACTATTACATGATTACAGATTGTTTTGACCAATAAAATTTGAACATGCAAAGTAGTTAATCTGATACATAATTAGAATTTATGCTTTTGAAATACAGTAAAGTAAATACTAAATCAGACATAGATCAAAAGTATAATAATAAGTTAGAACAATTGGTAATTGAAAATAATAATTAAAATAAAATATATAAGATTAGTTTAATTAAATAAGCTACCAGAAATTATATAATTTAATTTGACTTTTATAAAGATCATCAAATAAACTTTAAAATTAGTTCTATATAAAAGCAGAATAAGTAAAAAAAAAAACTTTTAACTCAAAAAAAAACTGGCTATAGATACTTATCTGAAACAAATAAACTATATAGTTATAAAAAAGAAAATTCAAAGATTCTTGTAAGTTTATTACTAGTATATGACAAGTCTAAAAAGAAAGATCTAGTCTCTATATTATAATAAATCTGGATTAATTAAATTTATATCTAGATTATATCTTAAAATTAAGCATTAGAAAAATCTGGATTAAATCTAAATCATTTTAATCCACAACTTTTTTTAATTAACACTTTAATAAATTTTTTAAATGATTAAAACAAAAAAATAAAAAAATAAAATAAAAGCATATTCAATAGTGATTTTGGTGCTTTAGTAAATTTAAATTTCAATAAATAAAGCTTTTTTATTCTTCTAAACAAAAAAAAAAAAACTTTTCTATATAATATTTCTTGCAATGCCAAAAAAAACAACTCTAACAGATAATCAAAAATTTAAGTTCTGTGTTTACACTCATAATAATAAAAGAATCTGTTCAAAATATATAAAGTGAATTGAAAACAAGTGAGGTATTAAAGTTAATGAGTCTACAATTATATGAATCTTGCAAACTAAAAATCAAAGACTTTCAAATGAAGTTACAAGTCCAGAGGCTAAGTGTTATAAAGCTGTTGCTGTTCTAGAGCTTGAGTTTGCATTCAAGAAATTTATACTAATATATTAGCATCATACTATTCTAAGTAATGCTATAATAGTTGAAAAGGCCAAATTGTTAGCAGAGAAACTTGGTGTTCCTAAAGGCAAGTTGCAATTTTTAGTTAGATAGCTTTAAAAATTTAAAGAATGAAATAGAACTGTTAAATAAAGCTTTATAGAGAAGCATCATCTGTTGATAAGGATGTTGTCACTAAATCTTTACCATTGTTGCAAAATAAATGCACTGGATACTCTTTTGACTGCATATATAATATAGATGAAACAGAGCTTTTTTACTAATAGTTTTTTTTTTAAAAAAAAATTTGATAAAATTTTTTTTAATAATTTTTTTTTTATTGCAAGTTAAAACCAGATTAAACCTTAGCAATATGATGAATTGCAGAGCATAAAAAGAATATGGAACATTTTTCTGTTGCATTATGTGCAAATGCTAATAGGTCTCACAAATTATCTTCTCTTATAATTGGCAAATATGCCAGACTGCAATGATTCAAAAATGTAAAAATTAATAATTTGCCTATGATATACAGAAATAATACTAAAGCTTGGATGCTTGTGGTCCTTTTCCAAGAATGGCTTCAGAAATTTGACTTTCTAATGTTATGAAAGCATAATAGTTAGCACATTCTTTTACTTCTTAACAATTGCTCTAATTATAAATTAGATAGATTAACTCTTTAGCATATAGATGTTCATTTTTTTCCTAAAAATACAACATTAAAGTTGCAACCAATAGATGTAAGAGTAATTATAGCTTTTAAAAAAACCTATCATCAATTTCATCTTTGATTAGTTGGAAGTTAGTTTAAAAATTAAAATCATTATAGTTTTTTATAGTTAGACTATATATACTTAATGTTTTGGTTTTTATAATACAAAATTTTAAATAAATCTAGCTGGCCTGCTTCTTTTTTTTCTTAAAAATTTCAAATTTGACTTGGTCATATTATAAAGACCAATTAATTTTACATACTCTTATTAAATTGATTTTTTTTAAATTTAGATAAATATTAAAGCAAATAGAAGCAAGAAATCTCATTCAAAATCTGAAGATGAATGTTTTACAGTTGATTCTATATATTATAAAAGGTTAAGAAGAAGTTTCAGCTAATATCATACACAATTGCTAGCATCATACTTAAATTCTTCTACCTAGTACAGGTTATTCAGATAATTTTCATAAAGCTAATGATTTAGGGCTTAGAGATCTTATTAGTTCACTTAATATATTTTGTCTTTCCAATGCTATGAAGGTTGATGAATTTCTTAATTTTAATGGTAAAGAGGTTGTTTATAAAGTCTTCTCAGAAGATTAAGCTATTAAAAAGCTGACTTATATATTCAAAAATGATAAAAACATTGAAACTATAGATGATAAAAATATTGAAATAATAAATGATGAAATAGATGATAATGTAGAGTCTATAATTATTAGCAGTAGTTTAGTATTAAATAGCTTAGAAAGTGTTTGAATGTTTTTGCTTTAGCAAAAAGCTTCTAATAAGCAATTAAAGTCAATTAATTTTTTTGAAAAATTTATCAGAAGAGTAATATTAAGTTTAGCTCTGCAAACCCATATAGATAAGTATTTTAAATAGACTACAGTACTGTAAAGAGAAAGTAAGTGAATAAATTCTTTTTAATAAGTTAATTTTTATTAAGAAAATTGATAAAAAATTCTGTATTTTTTACAGCTTGAAAGTATGCAAAGTAATAATAGTTAAAACTATCTAACACTATAAATTTTATTTTATAATGCATATAACAATGTTATATAAGCTAAAGATCTAAAAACTACATTTTTACAACATTATAAAATATCAAAAAATAAAGGCACAGATGATTATATTTTAGTTATACAATATGTAGAAATGTAGTCTTTAAATTAAAAGAAAAAATTAGAACTATTATCTTGTATCATATTTGATATTTAATTAAACATTTTATTTATTGTGTTTTACATAGTGACAACATATTTCAAAATAAATTATATAATGCTTGCATAGCACAAAAATAACTTTTGAGGATGGTGATCCTAGTGTAATAGTCAGGTTATCATCTTTCAAGTGGTAGGTCTAAGGTTCAAATCTTATCACGATGAAATTTGAACATTAACCTGTATTATGGCAAACTGTCTCTTGATAATTAGTTAGATTTGTGTATCTGTAACCTTAAGTTACACTATCTCGAATAGGAGCTCGGGGCATCTATGCCAAGTGTAATATTACATGTATATAGAAGAATATTAATAACTAGTGTCATATAAGACTTCAGTGCAAACTTATAATAAGACTACCAGGTATAGTAAACTAAGAAACCAAAGAGTTGAAGCCTACTTGGAAATTCCTGAGTAAAGAGGTAGCATAAACTTTTAATAGTATGATCAGACTGATAGAAGCCCATGAAACATCTTCAAAGAGATAGGAAGATAAACCAAATATCAAGATGTATAGAGGAGCATATAACAACTAGGCTGTTAGAATTACTGAAAGAAAAGAATACATAAGTATACCATACTAGACTATCTGAATTAGAAGTTGAGAGAGTCCTGTTGGTCCTAAGTAGCAGTTAGTAAGGAATAATAAAGAAGACATCATAATGATAGATACTGAGATTCTAGTAAACTTTACAAAAATAGAAATAGTATAATGTAGTAGTTAAATAGGTAACCCTTATGACTGCAAGTATTAGGTAACTATAGCATGTTGTATAAAACTAGATCAGCTGTATATAAGACATAGAAGGTTCTAGTAAGTTTTCTGTTAAGGATAAACTAGTCCTAAGGGTCTCAAAAGCATTAGGTACTTTGAGTATAGCCCAAAAGATGTCTTTGTGATCACAAGTCAGATTACATATACAGAAGGTTTAAATAAGCAAGACTCATAGTTGGCTTGCAGGTATAGCACCTAGTATAGAACCTATATAATAATATATAGGCGAACTACTTAAATTAGGCACCAAAAGTGCACATGTAGCTAGTTGTAATTTTTTATATATAGAAGCCCCTGGAGGCATCTATGTCTAAATACTTGAATAAAAAAACTAATTTTCAAAGGCAGTGACTTTAATATTAAAAAAAAAAAAAAAAAAAACTTTCTTTATCAAATCTACTTAAAAATTAATTGCAATTAATTTTTATTATACTGTATATTATACAATTAAAAATCAATTAAAATTATTATAAAATTAATTGAAACCTAATTAATTGCAATTAAGTTTACTATATTATAAAGAGCACTGCTTATGAGTGCACATAAAAATTAAATCAATGTTCATATAGCATAGTGTATAAAATTTAAGCTTTAAATTGTATGTATGAGGATAAAAATCAGAAAATAAAATTTAACCAATTATAAATTTTATTTCCTAATTTTCACTCTTATATACTCATATAGCAATGGTACTTGATATGCTCTAATGTTTTAAATAATAAAGAATTAAAAATCACATGTATTTACAATTTTATGGCAAGTATGATATGGTATGTATCTAGTATATATCATTGTGACTGCACCATTAATTGATTAATTAATTTCAATTAATTGGCTCTTAAAATTAATTATTTGTAGACCTATTCTTTATTTTTTTATAATTATTAAATGCTGTTATAATTTACATGTTTCAAATACACTAACTTAAAAGATCTAGAGTTTAATATATTAAAATGCCTAATAAAACTTATAAAAGACCTGAGTATGCTGTATTATGCTATATGGGGCTATATTATAAATAAAACCTTTATGGGATTAGTATTTTATTAGTGTACTAAAAGTTATTTTGATTGGTTATAAAATTTGTATAATATAAATTTAATATTCTAGAAGTGCATGATAATGCCTAGTTTCAAAGAAATGCACTTATGAAGGTCTGACTATAGTATAGATCTTTGATAATATTATTATAAAAGCTAGACTATTAAAAATAAATACTAATATTAAAGTATTTAGATGAACAAAAACTTCTGAGTGAGAAGTATTATTAACTAAACTGCCAAAATAGAATAAAGAAAAAAATATCAGGCTGATCTAATATACAAATAAACTAGTTATAATCTTATTAGGCTATCTGAATTAAAAGTTTGAAGAATAAACAAAGGTATACTAAAGTACTAGAGATATAATATAAAGTAAATATCAAGATTCAAGTAAACTCTATTAGATTATAATAGTTTAATACCTAGTTCTGATTACAAATATTAGTTTTGCTATAGTAATACTAGATTAGCTGTCAAAATAAATACAGAAGGCTCTAAAAGGTTTATCTTAAAAATATAATAGTTTTAAGATTAAGATGATAACCTAGATATAACCTAGTAATATTAATACAGATTGCAGATTTAGAAGATTTTAAAATAGAAAACTTAGCAATAGTATTAAATATAGCAATTAGTAAAAAATTTTCAGATGAACTCTTTAAATAGATAATATAAAAAAGTTATATATATAGCCAATTTTACATTCTTTTTTTAGTGGTTCATAAAATTACATTGTCAAAAAAAGTTAAATGACCAAAAAGATCATTTTAAAAAAATATATAAAGATAAAATAAAAACTATATATAAGAATTAAAATTAAAATAACTTTATCTATAATCTAAACTAACTAAAATAATTAAAATCTATTTAGATTTGTAATATTAGAATATAATTATAAAATGTATTTTTTTTTATTTTATTTTTTAACTTTAAGCAGTTATGCTAGTACTTTATTAAAATTCTTGAAACTATATATCTATACAATTATATAGAATTTCCCAATATCTAAGTCTAGCATCACTCAGCCATCCTAATAGTACTTAAGTGCAACCTGCTATACTATCTTAGTTAGAGATAGACTACTTGTCTAATTACTTAAAGTCATACCAGAAGGGTCTTTTTCCTTCTGTAACCAGCATATTTATTATCTTTAAGGCTTTTTTTTTTATTTGTTTTTCCTTTTCAGCTTTTCTTTCTTTTTCTTCTTTCTTTGCTTGTCTATCTTTCTTTATCCTCTTCTTTGTTTTCTCACTTACACAAGTACCTTTTTTTATTTTAATTATTATATTGATCTTCTTTTTTTAGGCTTGTATTTTTTTACATTATACTTTTCATACTTAGTTATAGAAAATGTTTTATACTGTTCTTGTTACTATATTTATGTATTTTTGTGTTGCTTGTTTGCTTAAAAGTCACTCTAGTCTTTTTTCTACTTTTAGTGTTATAAGTTCTTTTATCAGCACTTTTTTGTTTGTAATTTTTTCAGCTTTGTTTTTTCAAATAATGCCTTGTATAGGACTTGTGGTGAAATTCTGTTTTTTTGCCTTTCTTGAGTCTGTTCTATACTGTTGCTGTTGCAACTTTTTGAATCTGCCTTCACAGACTCTTTTGTTTACTACAATCTGCTAAATGTGTCTAAATCTCTTTTTTACCAACTTGGCATACTTGACATTCTGCTGTTATATATACTTTCAGTCTTTTTCTGTTTAACTTTTCAAGTGTTTGTAAGCTATTCATTATGCACTTGATTACTATAGCTCTTCTTATGCTAAGTTTTTTTGATGTATAGTGAACTTCTTTTGTTCTGTTCATTTCTTTCCAAAAACTTGACCAATTATGTAATGCATTTTCTGTTTCTGGTTCTAATGTTCATATTGAGTTTGTCTCTCTTCAACTAGCTTCTATTCTAGCATTTGCTATTATTTTACACAGAAGTCTTGCTAGTATATCAATTTTCTTGTTTTCTCATTCTAAATAGTACTCTATCCTATCACATTTGACTTTATCTGCATATATTTTGTTTCAGCAGTTTGCTTCTTTCTTTGCAAGAAAGTCTGCTCTATTATTTCACTTATTTTTACTATGACTTTTGACCTTGGTTATTTCTATTTTAATGTTCTTGCTTTTGATTAGATCTACAATATTTATTATCCATATTGCATTTTTCTTCTTCAGAGTTCTTTCCTTTTCTACACTTTGAAGTGCTCTATTAATGTTTCTTAATGCTGCAATGCTGTTTATAAACACTTCTACACTTTTTTCTTCTGTCACTGTTAGAATTACTATTCATATTGCTGCTAATTCTGCTATTGTTGCTAAAGGCCAATCTTCGAGTCCCAATATGATTTTTTCCTCTGATCAATCTTTGTCCTCTTTTATTTGTACCCAACTGATACCTATTCTTTCTGTATTAATTTTTTCTTTCTTCTTGTATAATGCTTCATCAGTATAATAACTGTATTTCTTTTTGTCTTTCTTCTTGTTTTATGTCAATATCTCTACTAACTGATTTGTAATCATGCTATTTAATTCTTGTTTTTTAATCAGTTCTACTTCTAATTTTTTTGTTTGTCTTATTTCTAGTAATTTCATTTCATTTCTTTTTTATTCTTCTATTATTCTATCTTCTAGTATCTGCTCTAATATTGCATTTATCTTATTGTTAGCTTTCTTTATTAATGACTCTGGTATGACTTTTATGTTGTAGTATTG